CAAAATAGTCTTTAGCAAGTGGGGTTTTCCTCTCTATGTAGTGTTAGGCTGAGATACTTCTATGCACATGGTTGCTTAAGAGAACACTGTTGCTATCTTTATATGAAGAATCCACACTGAAAGGAAAAATGAACATAGAATGAATGAGGAAAGAGGAGAGGACTGGTGTCAGGGTGTGACCGAGACATACTATGTACATGTATAAAAATGTCATCACGGGGGCTAGAAAGATGGCTCGGTGCTTAAGAGCACTAACTGCTCTTGCAATAACTCCATCACGTGTGTAATATATTCAAATAAAACTCAAAAAGTAAAGAGACAAAAACAACAAGTGGAATGTCAGCCTTCTGGAAAGACTGGTACTACTGAGTTCTGGCCATACTGATGACATCATTCCCCATCTTCTGGAATCCCTGTGGATATCGTGGAATCCCTATATAATAGGCTTTCAGGCAACATGACACATGGCAGCTATGTAGGGTTATGGCAGAGATAAGTGCACATTGCTAGATGATAATAAAGACCTCCCCTCCGTAGTATGACCTACAGAACTCTTCATATCAAATACTCAACATTTGTGTGTTCTCAGCACGAGTAGGGCACAGTGCTGACAGCTGTTAGAGAATGTAGTGGGTGGCCACCTCCCGAAGCAATCCATTCAATCAGGGAAGTTTCTGCCTGGTCTCCACCTCCGCCCCCACTCGATGTCAAACAGTGTCTACTCTTGTTCTCTCTCTCCTGGGTCCTTAACTCAAAGGCTGCTCTCTCTGCCTGGAACCTCTTCCCACCCCTGTGCCTTCTCTGAATCAGCCTGCATCTTGCTCTGTGCAGGGCTCTGGCGCCTGGCTGAGCTGCTGTGTATGGCTGTTGTCAGCTGTCTACTCTCTTCCAGAGTCTCAACTCCTTGAGGGCAGAAACTGAATTGGTTTATCTTTTCCTGTCTGCAGTCCTAGCTTGCAGACAGCACTGTCTCACTGCAAGTAAAGAGTGACTGTGTGAACAAGCAACCAGAGACATTTTCAGGGAGAAACTAGAAGGAAAAAAAAAAAGAAAACCCAAAGGGTTGAAAGAGAAAACTAAATTTTCACTTAACAAAGAACAGACATTATCATGAGATATTATATGTCTTAGTGAATCAGTGAATTAAGAACAACAAAAAAGTCCCACCAAGGCACTGAGTTTTTAAAAATAAGACATACTAATTTTGAAAACGCTTTGTTGTCTTATACTATCATTGCTTCTAAATACAGTGAACAAAAACACCAAGTGAAAATTCCAAAATATAAAATTCTGACTCTTAGAACACATGTCCAATGGGATTTTTTTTCTTGATGTAAAAAAGTTTCAGGAAAATTTATTATCCATCATATGTTAGTCAAAGCAAGGCTGGATGCCAGTGTTTGGTCACATGGCAGAATTTTAACAAATGGATTTAAAGTTTGTGGAAAATACTTCAGAGTAGATATCCTGAAGTCTGGTGGGGGGTGAGTTTCGATTGTTACCATCAGACTGACAGTAACTATACCAAGATGTTTGAAGAGGTTATTGTTCTGAAGAGGCAAGTATTATCAAGAGGCAGGTTTGTTTGTTTGTTTGTTTGTTTAGTGATGGTGCCATGTGGTAAGACATTTTAATGCCGACTCTCGAGTCACTTTCAGAGGCATTTGTGGAACACTCAAGACTTGATAGAAGGAACTCATGGAAGGCTATATTTATTCTGGGTCATTGGAATGAGGAAACTAAAAATACATGGAGTGGTTTTCTAAGCATTTTCAGTACAGTATAAAGAGGAGTTTTCTACAGATCCGAGCTATTTGTCAAGGAATATTTTGATGGATGATGTTGAAATACAACACAGATATGACAGAGCATTGAGTATTTCAAAGGTCCATTGAAATCCCAGGCTATTATTATAAGACTATCTGTGCTATTATTTCATAGTGACACATCATATGTTACAATACGTGTGTGTAGAGCCCTTTTCTAGCTCTGTGTTCAAATGCCATCTGATTATAGAAATCTTCTGAAAATGAAACATTGCCCTCCTCAAAACATCTTGCTTCTCTTCCCCTGTCTAATCTTCTCTGGAGCCCTTCTTTTTGTTGTGTTCTGTTGTTAATATGTTTATGTTGTTGTCTATGAAGAAAAGGACCCAGTTGGTTTCATTTATTGCTCTAATCCAAGTAAATCAATTGAAATCTAACATATGGGTATTGAGTGAATTTCAAGACAAAAATTAGTTAGATACAACAAAAACTTAAAGGAAAGGAGTAAAACACAGTTCTCCTAACTTTTCATAATTACTTACTCCCAAATATTCACATTGACCAATGTGCCATGAGTCTAATGTGTCGTTAATAAGGAGTTTGTGCTATAACTATACACATTTTATTGTCTTAAAAGCAGTTGTATTCTTAGCATACTTGTGATTATTTTTATGTAAAATGTCATTGTTCAGATGAATAACTCAATTTATTCATCAGATTTATATATATATATTATAACTTGATGGCACTGCCAAAACTCAAATCCATCTTTTAATTAAAAACAGCACCATGTGTTCCACAAAAATATATGCATGCTACTGGTTCAAAATAAGAAACAAACCCAATGCTGTTAATTATCTGACCTAACTAACCATTACTCAGCATGTTAAGGAATAACAACCATATTGAACTTCAGAAATAGGAACAAATAGTCTGTATCTTCAAAATAGAGAAGTAATTTTTAAGTTAATCATTTATAGTTTCATTATTCTCTCTCTGAATATCATTTCTGGAATGCATCATTTGATTCTGAAGACAGAACACTGTGAGTTAAAATAAAACATATTTAACTGAATCCTTCATGCAGAAGAGTGGAGCTAGAAAACTCACACTCTCTGACAGAGCTACAGAAAGTGAGATATGGAGCACTGGCAGAGACACCCACACATCAACAAACAGAACTGCCCAGACATCTACCCTCAATGCTCAGTTACTCTTCCACAGACTGCCAAACAATTGCCAAAGGAAAGTCTTCTTGACAAATAGTGCTGAGATGAATATACCTCTCTCTCTCTCTCTCTCTCTCTCTCTCTCTCTCTCTCTCCTCATATATGATGTTTTAACTGTAAACACCAAGAAACAGCTGATAGAATAAAAATGGTAAGTTGAACCTAATTTTGAAGATCCCTCTTCTAATAACACTAAAAGGCAAACCAAAGAATGAGAGGAAATATATACAAATCATTTGTCTCATTAAATGTTTGTTTCTCAAATATATAAACAACTCACAACTCAGTAAAAAGACAACTGAATTTAGAAATAAGCACAAAAATCTGAATATTTTACCAAGGGCAATAGGCACATGAAACTACACTCAATATCGTTAGTGACTGGAAAGCCAAAAACCACCATTTTGTCCTCTCTCAAATGGCTGTGACCAGGAAAACAAACAGTAACAAGTGATGTAAGGAAACTGGTGCTCTCTCCACCGTTGGGAATTCATGGGTGAGCCATTTTAGAAAATGGTTTTGCAACTTCACTAAAATTGAGTTTACGGTTGAGTCAGGGGAAGAATAGAAGAAAGGATATGTGATAGGTAGGGTTTTAGTTGGGGGGGGTGGTAGGGGAGGAAAGGAGGGAGAAGGGAACTGAGGTTGTCATGTAATTCTATTGTGTTTGTAACTCAAATAAAACAAAGAAAAATAAGTTTATCCTACAACCTAGTGTTTCTACTACAGAGAAATAAAAACCAGATGAGCATTCAAAGACTTGCAGGTAACTAATGGGCAGCATTATTCACAGCCCAAGCTTAGAAATAACCCAGATATTATATGCTGTGCATATTTTGTTGGTATATGTATATCTCTATGCCTACATATTATCAAAGTTATAGATGTGTATCCTAAAATTAGTATGAAATTCTACAAACTCCACAGGTAGTATAATACCTCAAGAATGAATACATAGGCATAATTAAAAATTAATATCTTCCTAATTTTCAGTCCAGATACCATCTGGGTTGAAATTCTAGACTTTTCTACTTCTTAGCTTTGTTTTCCTAAGCTAGTTAGTTACGCAACCTCTCAGGGGTCTATGCTTTGTCATAAATATGGACAGATATAGACAATGATAATATTCTTCATACAATTGTGGGATTAAATCGTATAAAATATACAGAGTGTTTAGCATTGGGCTGCCACTGTGTCAGTCTTTAATAAATTGGCATAATCCAGTTTCTACTCACACATAGGAAGGAGAAGGCAGGCATTTGGTGAAGTGGAGAAGATTCCTTCTGCCCTTCCAGCTGTCAGCCTTCAAGTGTTTCCCTTAATCTCTCAACCTCAAATGGCCAAAATCTGTAAATGAGGGTCAAACTGTTAGCCTAAAGTACCTACAACTAGGCAATTGTATGATAGGGCTTTGTATTCTGCAAAGCACAATAAATTATAAAACTCTGTATTATCATAGCTTCTTTCCCCATCACACACCCGAGATCAATGTTTCTACAAGAACCAGACTAATGAATGTCCCATAGGACAACGTGGAGTTGTTTTTCCAACCTCAGTTCATAATGAAAGAGTCTGTTCATGGCGTAGTGTCTGTGGCGAGACATTTTCAAAACAAGAGTTTACCCTCCGTTGTCTGAGCAAAGAGTAAGGAGAACCATGTCACCTCCTATCTGAAACACTCGGCCTGTCCTCACCAGCTATCAGGCTCAGCTAAATATGGCTCTGGCCACTCTGCGAATAATCCCTGCTGGTTCTGAGACCTCCATCCACCACTGATGTGACATTCTTTGTGTTCAAATGTCTAGCTGACGTCTGATGCTTAAAACAGCCCATGCTTTCACCCTCTCCACATTGTCACAGTCCTGCATCACCACTCTTAAAAGGCTCCTGAGGCCACTCCTCACTCCAGCAGCCGACCAGCCTGACACTTGCCTCCCTGTCAGCCTCTGCTTGCCTTGAATGCCTGGTTCTTCAAGTTCTCGGGGAGTCTGACAAGGCTGGGACCATGTCTACTTTTGGCTACAGAAGGGGACTTAGTAAATATGAATCCATCGATGAGGATGAACTTCTGGCCTCCCTCTCGGCTGAGGAACTCAAGGAGCTCGAGAGGGAGCTGGAAGACATTGAACCTGACCGAAACCTTCCTGTGGGGCTAAGGCAAAAGAGTCTGACGGAGAAAACCCCCACAGGGAACTTCAGCAGAGAGGCGCTGATGGCTTATTGGGAAAAGGAGTCCCAAAAACTTTTGGAGAAGGAACGGCTTGGGGAATGTGGAAAGGTAAGCTCTGAAGACTGCCCTGGCTCTGCCCATCATCCTCATCCCCACCCCCACAAAGCCAGAAGCCCCTGCTTTCTGTAGCTTCTCAGTCTTCATCACTTAAACTTTCTTAGAGCCCGGTTGTACCCATTGCTGATATATTTTCCAGGCCACACTGGTCTTGGTGAGAGTGGTTTTATTGACTAAAAATGGGAACCTGTAAAAGAACATGCTTCCCAGCCAGAGTGTTGGTTTGAATGAGTCGTCAAATAGTCTAAGGCACTGATGTCACATAACATGTTTCTGGAACAATTTTCTTTCAGTTAAGTACATTTATTTCCTGGTACTTTGACAGCAGTAAAGGCAGTGGTAAACCTTTTATATTCCCAATGCCCAAGTTTAAGACTATGGGAAGAACATGGAAATAAGAGTCAAGAGTCCTCTTCCCTCCTCCCGTTTTGTCTTTAAGTTGTTAGTTTGTACAGACAATCACTCCTTCAGGATCCTCTTTCCCACTTGTCCATTAAGAGACCTCAATTTTTTGTTTCTTTTATGAATCAATATTCCCCTCTCCCCACTGAGATTTCAACAAGTTTTTGAGTCCCCCAAAGAAAATGCAGGCTTTAGCGTAAACTTCTAAATGATGAAACCCACCAAGGATGCAGGTTAAGCCTGCATTTACAGATGCATCTCTGAGAATCTTGATGGGGATTCTGAGACTAGGAAAAATGCTTATTTTCAAGAACTCAGGTCTAGAAAGCCCATGTGTGCTAGAAATGACTAGAAAGAGTCATTTTGAATTTCCCAATGAGGCATCACTGTAAGGAAGCTCAAAAGACTAACGTCTGGGAAAGTCATTATAGCAGTAGAATGTTATTCTAGGAAAGAAACCCTGAGTTCATAGAAGAAAACAGGCTGTGAACAACCATTTCCAAGCCTGTGTGCTCCGCTGATATCACTTAGAATTGAAGGAAGCAGGCTCATGGTGGCCAGCCCTCCACAGTACTCATCTGGGAACTGTGGTGATCATGGCAATAGCTGTGTGCACCACATTTGCAGCAAGATATGTGTGAGCTTTGCCCTAGTCAGTCATTGTGGGAAGGGCCACTGGGGCCAAGCCAGGATCTTCTGAGGCCACGATGGCTGCAGTAGTGAGAAACCCTGAGAGGTAAGGAGGGAACATCTATGACCAGTCAAGATTTGTGCTAGCTGGTTCTTCCCCAACCATCACTTAAAAGTTGGATTTGCTTTGATTGGTTTCCTTATTTGTTTTTTGTTTGGAATGGAAATGAGTGTCGACAGTCTGATGAAATTGAATGACATCTTATTATGCTTGCTAAAGAATTTCCTTCAAAATGCGAATGCAACTATCTCTAAGAAGCCAGGACATAGAGGCACCTAGGACAATAACAGGACAAAGGCATTTTAATGTCATAATGTTATGACAGCAGAGGGAACCAAAGGGCAAAGCCTGTTGTCAGCTGTTGTTGACACCCACCTCACGCTGCCAAAGGTTTTGCTGATCCTGCCAGTGGCTTATCGGACCAATTAGAGAGGCTGTCTTCTTTACAAACTTTGATTCCTTTCTCGGCTGGTTAACTTTTCTCCCATTTCACAGCCCCAGCCAGCTGTCTCTGTAGTCACAAGGGTGCTGAGCAGAAGCCGGCTGACAGAGGGAGTAATCCAGTCCCATTGCAGGGAAAACTTCCAAGCAGCCGAGGAGAGAGGGGAGCAGGTGCTTGTCTCAGTGAAGACTGCGACTGCGCAGAGGTTCCATGAGGAGGGGCTGGGGTCTAGATGGGATAGAGGTGGCAAGGCTACTGGCTTTGTGAAGGGTTAGGAAGATTCTGTGTAGCACCCGGTGAGTGGCAGCCTTTTTCTGTCCACGTAGGCTGACACAAATGTGTACTTCATCAGCTCTGGCACCCTGGACATGCCGCAGTTCAGTTCTCCTCGCTTGAGCTGCTGGGTCTAAGGCACAGGCGCCAATGACTTTCCTCACATTCTCACCTCGTCTTACATTTCTTCACTCGAGAGCTGGGACCAGGAAAAGTTAAGGAACCTACATGAGGGTAACAGCTTGTCAGTAGAGTTGGAATTGAAACTAGAGACACTGGCATGAAGGCAGTTTTTCAGACGTGTAGGTGCCTGCCCAGCAGGAGGAACATGGCTTGGTACTCCCAAAGGATCTGCAAGATGGGAAACTATCAGGGTAGGCCTAACTATCTGTGGTCCAACAACTCCATATGGTGATTAGGACCATGAAAATCACTCATTTTCTTGAGACCCAGAAAGGTTCAGTGATTTGTCAACCAGCTCTTTAGAGAACCAGGACAAGAGCTGAAAGTCAAGCCTCTTGCTTTCTTACCGCTGTAAGGTGCTATAGAGATAATCAGAAGAGGTTGGCTCTCTCCTTGTTGCTCTGTTTAACTCACCATGTTCATCAGCATCTGTGTTCCATCTGTTCAGTCCCTCCCACCTCATCTCCCACCCCTTCCTGTATGTCCCCCTTTCCTCCTCCACTCCCCAAAGGATCAGACCTAACTCCAAAGCAGCAGATGTAGGAAACCATTGTCCACTCCCTCCAGTGTAGAGCTGATTCATAAGGAAGCAGCGATGGTCCTGGGGGCCATCCATCCTCTCCCTTCCCCCTTGCTGCTGTTTTTCTCCCACAAGCTCTCCTCCAGGGGGGATGAACACTCTCAGCTTGCCCTGGACTGCATTAGAAATTTCCTGTATCCTGGTAAACCTCTCAGGCTCTGGCAAAGAGCCAGACACTTGGTCCCCTTACCACACCTGACCTTACCAGTATTTTCTTCCAAGTATAGTCCTATTAGGTGCTGTTAAACAACATCAACTTGGATCAACTATGCAGTAAACAAATGTTTACTGAGCCTCTATAACATGCTAAGCACTGTGCTAGGTGAGAAAACAGATACGGGCCTATGGCCATTTTAAACAGTGCGTGGAGAAAATGACAAACAAGCAGTTAAAGTGTGAGACATACCTTATTGGGAGACATGTCATTAGAAAGCATGTCAGGGGTGATGTCAGACAGTGCTAAAGAAGATCTCTGAGAAGAGGCGTTAGTAGATATTACATAACAGCTCACGTTGCTGGAGAACTGGCATGGTTTTCAGTTTTGATGGTTTTTGAAGGGGAACAGCCTTTGTAAAGAGAGCCTTATCTTTGAGTACTAAAGATGAGAGTTCATGGTCATATGGAAGGCAGCATACTCCAGATTTTGAGGAAAGGCCAGAAAACATGAGGATACAGTACACACCCTTAGACAGCTGATGGGGAGTCCACTTACAAGAACTTACACAAAGCAAAGGGACGTGGGGTAGGGGTGTCAGAACTCTGTCCAACTGATCCATCTACTTCTCGTATCATGGAGTTATGTCTCCTGTCCCTCCAACCTTTTGATAGACAAGTAGACAGACAGACAGACAGACAGACACCCTCTCCCTCCTTCTCCTAATATATCAAGTAAATTGAGACTGAACAGGTCATCCCAGGAGAGGCTGACCTTTCCCAGGCCATCACTTGGTGTCTGCCACTCCAAACAAGTGTAGCTAACTGGAAGCTATTTTGTGACAACAACTGGGCAGACAAACCTGGAGACCAACAGTGTTTTCCAAAGCACCATCCACATGTCCCAGACAGCAACATCCCTTGAAGAAAAAAAAAAAAAAAAAAGCACTTCCAGTATAGAGGAAAGAACAGAACAGGCTATGGGGAGAAGCAAGAGCCATGGGGCTTCAAAAGAGATAAGGAGAAGGACTCACAAGACAGTAAGGGGGGGGGGGAGACACTTTCAACATTTCCAAGACTTTCTCTAATAAAAGAAAACATGAAGAAGAGAAAGCGGTCTCTGGAAGTCGGTGCAGAGGGATTAGTGAACAGAAGTGAGAAGTGACTAAGCTAGAATCAAATCTTGTTTCCCCGAAAGCCTTTTACAATTGATGCATGCTAAATATGCCGAAACTGCCAAGCTGGGCAAGGGTCTGCTTTCAGCTTTTCTACTGATGTCTGCGACTGTGCGCTGCTGGTTTGGATCTAGCGAGGCTAGTCTTCTGCAGGCTGTCATGTTTTATCATGGCTTCCACCAAGGGTTTTGCTTGTCTGTTGCTTTTTTTTTTTTTTCCCAGAGAGCAGGTTTTGATCTGCCCTGATCAGTGCTCCACAGAAGTGTGGAGTTCCCACATTCTCAAGCTGGGTGCCATCGCACTACAGACAAATGCTGGAGCAGCAGCAAGCCACATGGGCTTCTCTACGTGGAGACAAACAGGACAGAGGGCACTTGGCTTGGTCACATCTGCAACTGACTGAACATCTGGGGAATAAAAACTCTGTTGCCTGGCTCTGTTCCCAGCCCCCCCCCCTTCTTTGAGACAGAGTCACACTAAGTTGCCTAGGCTGACCTTGAACTCAATATCCACTTGCTTCAAAACTCTCAGTTATCCAGGATAACAAGTGTGTGCCAACATGCCTGATAAAATTTCTGAGCACTAATGATAGGGAATTCATTACCGTATTGTTTATTTTTGTTGTACTTGTCTGGTGTGAAGAAATAGGAAAGAGGAGGATTCCCGAGGGAAGTATAGATTTGCAAGGCTGGAACAAAATGAGTCGTGAAATCAATATAAAATAAGTTTCCTTATTTTATCTATGGTGGCACATGTAGAGGCCAAAGGCACTGGACTCATGCTGAGAGTACCTTTATCTGTTGAGACATCTTGCTTGGCCTAAAATGTTGAAAAATGTATCCAGCACTTTCATAAACTGAAGCTCTGACTTATGTGTTCAAACTAGAAAAATGATCACATATTTTATTCAATAGATGCCTGCTGTTTTGTAGAAGATACTTACAGAAGAGTTGTTAAGTGGTTACTCAACAAAATGTTGACCTTGGTCACTTGACCTAGAGAGGTCAGAAGCAAGGGCTTGCTAATCCTGTTCACTAAGACCTCTGCGGCACTTATGGTACTTTACTTTTATAAACTGGGAAATGTGCTTCCAGTGAAAACTTTAATGGTGTCAATACACTCCTTAGGTTGCAGAAGAAGACAAGGAAGAGAGTGAGGAAGAACTGATCTTCACAGAAAGCAACAGTGAGGTCTCTGAGGAAGTGTGTACAGAAGAGGAGGAGGAGGGACAAGAGGAGTCTCAAGAGGAAGAGGAAGAAGAGGAAGAGGAAGAAGAGGAAGAAGAGGAAACCACAGCTGAAGCCACCAAACATATTAACGGAACTGTAAACTACAATAGCATTAACTCAGATAACTCTAAGCCAAAGACATTCAAAAGCCAAATAGAAAATATAAACTTAACCAATGGCGGCAGCAGCGGAGGGACACAGAGGAGGACGGAGTCGCCAGCTGCCATTCACCCTTGTGGAAACCCCACGGTTATCGAGGATGCCCTGGAAAAGATTAAAAACAATGACCCCGACACAACAGAGGTCAATCTGAACAATATCGAGAACATCACCACACAGACCCTATCCCGCTTCGCGGAAGCTCTCAGGGAGAACACAGTAGTGAAGACATTCAGTCTGGCCAACACCCATGCCGATGACGCTGCGGCCATCGCCATTGCGGACATGCTCAAGGTCAACGAGCACATCACCAGTGTCAATGTGGAGTCCAACTTCATCACGGGCAAGGGGATCCTGGCCATCATGAGAGCCCTGCAGCACAACACGGTGCTCACGGAGCTGCGCTTCCACAACCAGAGGCACATCATGGGCTCCCAGGTGGAGATGGAGATTGTCAAGCTGCTCAAGGAGAACACGACGCTGCTGAGGCTCGGGTACCATTTTGAGCTCCCGGGACCAAGAATGAGTATGACGAGCATTCTAACAAGGAATATGGATAAACAGAGGCAAAAGCGCATGCAGGAGCAAAAACAGCAAGAGGGATACGATGGAGGAGCTACTCTTAGGACCAAGGTCTGGCAAAGGGGGACACCAGGCTCTTCTCCATATGCATCTCCAAGGCAGTCTCCTTGGTCATCTCCCAAAGTCTCCAAGAAAGTTCACACTGGGAGAAGCAGGCCTCCATCTCCTGTAGCTCCTCCCCCTCCTCCACCCCCACCTCCTCTCCCTCCCCACATGCTGCCTCCTCCTCCTCCCCCTCCTCCTCCTCCTCCACTCCCAGAGAAAAAGCTCATCACCAGAAACATCGCAGAAGTCATTAAACAACAGGAAAGCGCCCAGCGGGCCCTACAAAATGGACAGCGAAAGAAAAAAGGGAAAAAGGTTAAGAAACAGCCAAACAATATCCTAAAGGAAATAAAGAATTCTCTGAGGTCAGTGCAAGAGAAGAAAATGGAAGACAGCTCCCGGCCGTCTACACCACAGAGATCAGCTCATGAGAACCTCATGGAAGCCATTCGAGGGAGCAGCATACGACAGCTACGGAGGGTAAGTGACCCCAGATCAGACCTTAAGGTGAAATTGATTCAAAGAATCAGCCTCCATGGATGGATGCTATCAAAGCCACCTCTCCAAATTCTTACTAATCTTTTAATTATTTGTGCATGTGAGAGCAAGCATGCCAACCAAGTGTCAGCATTCGGGGCGGGTACATTGAGTGAGAGAATGAGCACATTTCCATTCCTGCCAACTTATTATCTCAGCTAGGACCATCATTTTACCACACTCCAACATATTGGTTACTTGTCAGAATTTTTTACCACAAAACCACAAGTGATTCGCCACCAAATTTATAAATGTGGATTCCATACTGTGATCATAATCTATATTCAAATCCTGCTTAGGGAATAATGCTAAAGGTAATCCCTATAGGTGGCGGCAATGACAATGATGATTTACTTTAACTTGCCTGTTGCTTCACTGAAAGGCAATGCCCTGTTTTTGTAGGTGGAAGTTCCCGAAGCTCTGAGATAGAACCGCTCTGTAGAAGAGGACCCGGAACTGTTTAGTGGTGTGACCTGAGGTGCATCGTAAGCTGTTTCCAAAAATGCCTTCTTTAATTTGAAATATTCCCCGACTTCAAAGATAGTGTCACTATGGAATTCCAAAGGGAATTCTAAGAAGCATGTTCCTTCTGTAAATATGAAAATAAACTTTTTTTTAAATGTCATAAGATTCATATGGGCAGAAAAGCCTTAGAAGATCTCTTTGCATCTCTGGTTTCTTGGTGACTGAGCTCAAATCACTTAAAGAAATGTGCTATTATTTTTGTAATCCCAATAACCTTAAAGTTTTTTCTTTTTTTAAAAGAAACTAATATTTTTGTGAGTTAATACATCTGCTGGCTGTGTATGCAATATTGCTAAATATTAAAATCATTATGTTCTCACACCAAAAGGGCTCATGCCCTTACCATTTGCCTTCTTTCTTCATGTCCAAGAAATTCTGACCAAATCTCTTTCCGGAAGATAAAATTAAAGAACTTTCTAAAGAGGCTCTTTGGGAAGTATGAGACAAGTTTGGGGAAAGACTCCTATGTGGCCATTTCCCTGGGTTCATTGATACACAAATCAGATGGCAGCATTGGTCCCAGTGTTTTCCTAAGTCCAATTGACAGCCAGAAGTCAGTCTAATCACACCATTAATCAACAATTTCTGGAAAGGATAAGGTGGGATGTTAGAAAGTTTTCTTAGGGAGGAAATGAGAGCTCAGGAAATGACGAAAGGTAAACATGCAGGAACCCTGGCTCGGATTCTGAAGAGGAACTTTGGCTCTCCCCTTGACATCTCTGGCTCCACAAATCTCTGCTTTGTCTTTTTTTTTTTTTTTTTACCCTTACCTTCCCCATGCTCTCCCTCCTAGACTTTGTTTTCTTCCTTCCCCCATCCCTAATCGCCTTTCTTTCCTCTGTCTCTCTTTTCTCCCCATATCTCCTCCTCCTTTTTCTTCCCTCCTTTTCTTTTCTTAGGCAAATTTGAGTGATGACAACATCCACAAAAGTGCACTTGGGGACATAGGCATGTTTGTTCATAATTCAAACTTCAAGCCCATCTCTTCCCATCATCCCAGAGGCATCAGAATGCAAATAAGAGAAACATGCTTTGCAGATCTCCTTCCCTCTGGGATACATGCCAGCACTCCCGGCCTGCAGGTGCTCTGAGCTGTCCGTCTAGTCAATGCTTTGCTTCATGGGCAGATCTTTCAGTTCTTTCCAATAAGACTATCCCTTTTTGCCTTACAGGATCTCTAGCAATCCTCAGGACTATTTCTTCTGCTCATCCCATCTCTTAGTAAGAATAACTGGAATCAAAGAAGACCCCAGAGGCTGTAAGTTTAGCCAGGGCCTGAGATTCACATTAGGAGGCAGTAGATGAAGGTCATTTTCTGAACTAAGCTAGTTAGTGCATATTTCACGGCATTAAGAAGCTCGGAGGAGCAGAGATTAACGTGAAGCTGGGCATCACTAACTACAAAGCCTAGGCTGTTGTGCACTGCTCCTCACTGCTCTTACCCAGATGCTAGTCTCCTCAGGGCCCTTACTCCTAGACACTCAGTGTAAACTGCTGTTTCCTGGGGTAGTGTCTACACTATTTTTACCCTTTCCACTATCGTGCAAAATCATGTTTTATTTAAGGTTAAAGCTGTGTATGTTTATGTTCCTGGGCATATGAATTCAGAAAGGCAGACTTTCCTTTTTCCTGACCTTTGCTTGCAGAGACAGGCTCTGGTATACCAAAGGTAAGGAGTAAGAGGGAAAGGAGAGAAGAGGAATGGGTCCTGATAAACCACACCATTAGTAAGACCACACAAGGCCTTCCTAAAGGAGAGAACAGCTAATAGCATTTGTGTTACCAGGAGATGCTTAGCTTGTGGGGGCTAAGTCTTCTCCCCAGAAGCAAGGGACGTAGTGACAGGTTATTGCTTTGCACTACAAAAGCCCACCTTGCTGGATCTCTGTGAACCCAAGCGTACAGAATGACTTATGAAGTATGCCACAAAAATGGAATGCATACATATGGACCCACAGCTCACAAAACAGTGCATTACCAAGTTTAGAATAAAGACAAGTATGGTGTAGTTAGGTACCAAGTGAGCACATTAATTATTAACAGGAAGTACTTGTGGAACATGTTCTGTCTGGGGCCAGTGCTACAATAGGCAGGGCATGTGGCAGTCACCATTCAACAGCCTGAGAACTCACAACACTGATGTCAAAACTAATTAGCTCATCTTCTATTAAAAAAAAAAATTCAGCTCCCCGAGGGAAAGACTACCCAAGGTGACGTGTTGAGGTGGTGATTTATAGGGGCACTGATTTGCAATGGGGCCAAAATCACCGAGTCTCTCACTGCTTCCCAGGCAGTGCTCCATGGCTGCAGGTGTTTAATAACTCTCTGTCAGCAAGGTCTTGACTTGCCTCTTGCCCTGAGATACTTACTACCAAGTGGTGAGGAGGTAGTAGGAAGACCCTTCCACGTCTACACTGAGATGATCCAAAGGCTGGAGAAAATCAGTATGTTCTTGGGAAGATTTCCTAACCACGACTTCCTTTTGTGAATAAGCCTTTCAGGGTGTGTGTGTGTGTGTGTGTGTGTGTGTGTGTGTGTGTGTGTGTGTGTGTGTGTCTGTGTCTGTGTGTTGGTAAGTTAACACAGTCTCTTCCCTTCTATGAGGGTGTAGGGAGTCACCCTAGCCCCGCCCAATAGTTCTGGGGCAGGTACCAGGTGGACCTGGGGACTCGCCCATAAGGGCGTGGTGAAGGAAAGCCGGGATGACGTAAGGGAGCTTCTTAAGGGGCTGCACGTGGGGACGCGGGCCCCTTTTTTGTTCTGGCCGCGCTGGCTGGGTTCTTAACCTAGCTCTGGCCTGTGTTTCACCCTGCTGTCCTCTGAAATAAAGAGACCTTAATCCAATATGAGGGTCTTAAAGCAGACTTTCATTTCCATTAATTACCCAATAACATGATCAAGGATAAGGATTGCTCTGAAACTTCAAATAATGGCACCAACATCCATGCACTTGATTTCCACCAATGTCTTCCAAGTGCTTGCTACATAACCAGACATTCTTCCACACACTGGAGTTAGAAGCCAATGAACTAACACCTGCATCTAGTGTTAAGGGGGCACTTACAGCCTTCCTCACACACTGTGCATTTATGTACCCAATGGGTCCAAGCATGAACTACTCTGTCTGTGCCGGGATATCACTAGGTCAGAAACACCTCTAATTCAATGTGGAAATGCCAAGGACATCAACCCTTTCAAGCCCTTCTTAATTGACAAGTTGTTGGAAAACAGGCATTGGATGACTTTTGTTGGTGAGCCACATTTTACCAAGGACCCTTTACCTAAAACAGACATGGACAGAAGGAGAGCTTCTCAGACAGGATGACAATTTGTATTTTTAAGTACAGATGTTCCCAGGCTCTCTCTCTTTTAAGTGCTTCAGATTTTCTTTTAAAAAATTTTATTTAACTTTTTTTTATGTGCATTGGTGTGAAGGTATCAGATCCCCCTGGAACTGGAGTTACAGTTGTGAACTGCCATGTGGGTGTTGGGAGTTGAACCCTGATCCTCTGGAAGAGCAGTCAGTGCTCTTAAACCCTGAGCCATCTGTCTAGCCCCAGGCTCTTAAAAAAAAATATCACAAATGTTCAATCATGTGGGGTGACATTTCGGTTTGAGGGTGGTATAAAAAGTGGTCAAGATTTTACGTTAATCTATAAAACAACTTGATAAAAAGTTAATGTTTAAGTGGATTTTCCCCACTTAAACTTTAAATGGCAGAGGGGACAGTTCAGTCAGAAATGTGGTTTGGAACTCAGCCTGCACAGAAAGCCTGATGTGGTCATTAGCACTGAGAGGCAGAGACAGGGAGACCCTGAAGGCTTGCTGGCCAGCCATACCAACTGAACCAACAAGTCCCAGTTTGCTTCTAGGAAGATATTCACAAACAGCAAGGCATGAAGTCCAGAGCAAAATCCATCCCTGTCTCAGTTGTTCAAGAGCAAAGAGCTTTGAGCTCCTTGTAGCAGCTCAGTTCCTCACAGTGGAGGTTAGAACGGTACAAAAGGAAGAAAGGTGCAGAGCCAAATCTTGCTTGGTACATCGTGAATGACCTGAAAACAGGTCAGTCGTGTTCAATTCACAAATTTAAAGTTATTACGCTGGTTGAAAAGGATCATGGCTGAAATATGAGGATGTAGGATTTACCCAAAGAGGGTAAAGGCCTATTGACCCCCGTTAAGTTTTCATGAGAGTGCTGCAGAGAGCAGCCAGGTGGGCATTTCTCTGCACATGGTTCAGGACCCTTCTCAGTGACTCCACCCCGCTTCTACGTGTGGTCTAGAGCAATGGTCAGGATACAGCTAGGAAGCTGTGTAGGTTCCACTAGTAGAGCAGGGAGAGACAAGCTCTTTCAACTGGAAAATGAAAATCTTGATCTCCAAGGAAGCCATGCTGAGGTAAGTTAACATAGGCTTCACAGCCTTATGTCTTGAGGTCATTAAACACATTTGCACCTAGTGCTGAGGCTTTTGACACTGGCTCTTCTGCACTTATTTTTTAGAAATAACTTTGTTCCCAATTGAAACACTGTAATAAGCTGGAGGGTAATTACCCCAAGTCAAATGTTTGTTAACAACATACAATTTTGGAATCACACATTTAAAATTTAAAAATTAGGCACCCAAATGAAAAGCATTCCAAACCACTCTCATCAGAGTAAGCAGTTGCTGCTGGCAAGAGTACTAAATTTCTCTTCCTGAATGAAATCTGATGATCCATTACTCACTGTTACATAAACAGCAACAAATGGTCTAAAGTCACTTTAGGTTACAATTTTACAAGTTGTCTTCTCTAAGTTTATCAAAGAATAATCCTCATTCAAGATGGGGCTTGAAGTGCCAATACCCAAGATAAAAAAGCAAAAAAATAACAATATACATATAATAAAAATTAACAAGACCTGAAGATTCAACTAGTAGTCCAATGTTGTCTTTGACCTAGATGGAGAGCTGGAAAGTAAATTAGATTAAAAGAGAAAAGTCAAAGAAAAACACAATTGTTTATATCTATTCGGGAATGTCTTCCTAGAAGTTGACTTGGCCTTCTACAACTTGTGCTTTTTCAACACACCTCTAGTTGGGAGATGTTCAGGCTACAGGAGACCAGCTGACAGCAGAAAAGCACTCAGGAGAATCCAGGCACTATCAACATTTCTTCTCTGGATGTTGCCAAGAAGCCCTGGTGACTCTTTTTAGACACTCAGGACACTTGACTGTAATCTTAAAATGTCAGATCCTGGAATGGATTAAAGTCATTTTCCTACAGAGGGTGTCCCTATGTCCCTAGTAAAAACTGTTTTAAAGAAATACAACCCCCACCCCACCCCCAAAAAAAGCAAAACAAAAGGAGTCCTACAAACCCCCAAATAAACCAAACCAAAATCAAAGCAAACCTTTATGTAAAAACTGGCATTTAGTTGCTTAAAAATATGAAATGGGTAAACAAATTCCTAATATATACTGTCAGGGTTTACTTTAAATTCACAAGAAGGATCCTGAGAAAATTCTAAATAACCAATTATTAGGCATTTGGGATCACTCAAACATGACAGTTACCTAATCTGATATTTCACATGGAAAATGTTTTAATTTCAATGGAGGAGGAGAGAATAGGGGTCAGGGATGATCCAATCAAAGATAAAGTATTTAAAAAAAATTCAAAATTTAAACATTCAGTGGATGGTGGTGGCATTTTAATCTTAGCACTCAGGAGGCAAAGGCACTCAGATATCTGTGAGTGTAAGTCTAGCCTAGTCTACAGAGAGAGTTCCAGGACAGCCAAGGCTACAAACAGAAATCCTGTCTCCAAGAAAAAACAAAAAACAAAACAAACCCAACAAGAAAACAAGGTAAATATTTTACGCAGTCTAATATGGGCCGTCCTAATCTTAGAACTTGCTTTTGTTTGCCATTAGAGGCTGTTGGTTTAAGTTGCATGGCTATAGCATTTTCTCCTTTCTGCTGCATTTTGTTGTTTTGGAAACAGTACAATGGCATTTAACCCAGGTCTTTCTATCTGCAGAAGCATGAAAACCCAAAGCTCCCACATCTAAAGGTACTGAAGTAACATTTTAGTTTCTTAGCCAGATCATTACTGATAGCTAATATTATCTGTGCTAAGGTCCCAAGGCAGTCAAGACCCAGCTTTGCATTGACTAGCTATTTAACTTTGAACATATTATTTAACTTTTGCAAGTTTCATTCACTATGGCTGAAAACAGGTTTTGCCACCTCAAGGATGCTAAGAGAACAATTTACACCAAGAATTATGTTAGCATGACACTAACTTCAATGTATATCTAATATTTAGTGTCTCATCTTCTAACTTCACTAATAAGTATCTTTTTGTCGTTCTTTCTTAAGATCATGAGCACACCTTCAAACCTGTAATTTGCTGTTACTAAAACCTGCTAAAGAGCAGGAAGTAATTAAAAAAAAATGAGACTCAGTAGGCTGGGCGCACGCCTTTAATTCCAGGATTTGAGAGGTAGAGGCAGGAGGATCGCTGTGAGTTCAAGGGCAGCCTAGTCTATATATCCAGTTCCAGGGACAGCCAGGGCTTTGTAGAGAGACCAAGTCTCAAAAAACAAAAGGTCCTCAGTGGGATTAGCATTATATATGGCCAAATGAATTTGATCTTATAGAGCATCAATTCTACTGTGGGTCATACAACCCCTTAAGGGTTAACAACTCATTCACAGGGGTTGCAATCAGATATTCTGCATCTAAGATATTTACATTATGATTCATAATGGTAGGAAAATTAGTTATGAAGTAGAAAAAGAGTAATTTTATGCTTGGGGGTCACCACAATATGAGGAACTGTACTAAAGGGTCGAAGCATTAGGAAGGATAAGAACCACTAATACAGAGGTGAGTACATGGAATGAGAGAATTATTCTGGTGTTCACTCTCAATTGTAGTAACTGTATCATTTTAAATAACTTGTTTCACTAATACTAACATGTATGTTCAAGTACATTTGTCTTTGGTTTAGAAAACATTTCAGACACCTGGGAACTTATAAAGAGAAAAATATGATATAAAATGCTTCTTGATGTCTCTGTTTCTTCTTACTTTATTCACTAGTTCACCATGTTAAAAGGGAGAAGGGGAAATGGAATAGGAAGGATTCGATGGAGTGCAAGGGTAACGTCGAGGAGGGAATATGGGGATAACTTACCACTAAAGTTGTCTTGAGAAAAGCCATATGGAAACCTACTACTGGAGAACCTTCCTAAAATATACACATATGAAGTGGGAGACAGTACCCTAAGTAGATACCATATTCTGCCCCCAACCAAATGCCTCGTACAAATGAGTTACCTGTTTTGAGTTGTTGGCTAATGGGGTCCCATAGACCTCCAAACATGACATGCCAACATACCACCAACACTATTGGAAACCCTCCAAAAGTTGATGGTAAGACCCTATTGCTGAAGACACCATGTACTTGGATTATAGTGAATGGAGAAATTGAGTTCATACTCACCTAGCTCTAAGTGTCATCCCTACTGACTATAGTGTTTATAGTGCTGGAATGTGCTATGTAGGCAATAGAGAAAAGGAGTTATCAGTCTCATAAACTATAAACGATGTCAGTTACAAAAATGCTCAACATGTCAAAGTGTACTCACTGATGCAATAGTGGCATGGATGATACGGGAACAACCACTTTTTGAACTCATTTAGGGCTTGCTTCATGAGACTGAACCCATACATGTATACTGTCAATGAGGCCAAGAACCTGTTAGATATGTTCATGGGCCCCAGGAGAAAACCCATTTACTATTATTCTACTAAACAGACTTAGATCACACATCCCTCCATCCTCATCAGACAAGCTTTTTTTTTTTTTTTTTTTTTTTTTTGCAACAGATGGTAACTAATGGGAAAAAAAAACAAAACTCTCAACTGGTCAACATATAGAGAATGATGTAGAATACATACTCCTAAATGGTATGTCTACTCCTACCCCACGAGGGTCAGGGATCTATGCAGAGGAGGGAGCAGAGAGGTGGTAGATGACTTTAAGAAAAACTCCAGACACAACAGGGCAAATACACATATGAACTCAGAGATTGGGATGGCATGGACAAGACCTACAAATGCACACCACTATAAAAGTACTACCCCTAGCCAAGGAGCCACTGGGAGAGGGAAAGCTGGTTTTCAATGCAATGGCATCTGGTGCACTCATCACCCCAGTTGTTTAGTTAGGGTTTCTATTGCTGTGAAAACACCATGACCAAAAGGAACTTGTAATCACCTACAGATTACAGTCCACCACTGATACAGCAGAAACCCAAGGCAGGAACCTGTAGGCAGACCATAATTCCTTTCCATGGCTTGCCCAGCCTGTTTTCTTGTAGCACCCTGAACCACCCACCCAGGCGTGACACTGTCGTCTGGGGGATACCCACCCACAGCAATTAATCAAGAAAATATCCAATAGGCTTTCCCACAAACCAATCTGGTGGGTGTATTTTCTTAATTGAGGTTCCCTCTTGGCAAATGACTATCTAGTCTGTGTCAAGTTGACCTAAGAATTAGCCAGCATACCATGCCCAGGAGTTGTTAGCCATCACAAACTGGACTCAATATATTTTACAAAAGGGTATGTGTGTGAATATGATGTTAGGTTGGTAGGATCTTGTAGTTGGTAGAGGGGCATGAATAAAATTCTTTTCTAGTAAACTCGAAGAACATGCAATCAAATCAGAATGTTCCTTCCCTCAGGAAAACTAGGACACTGTGTTTACCATGTTGTCCCTGGAAGAACTCCGAGTCTTACAGTCCCTCTGTTGATTAAAAATTATCCAGATATTTGCACTTGCAAACTATTTTTCTTTTAGGTCAAGTTTATATAAGAGTTCATAGAATACTTAAGTCCAAGTAAAAACAATGTCTATAAAAAATGAAAGAATTTGGATGTACAATCAAAAGCTCAGCCATATTTCAAGCCGTAAATACCTTGTGATGAGTAAGCTTCCTGGCAATGCAGGGTGACCATCATTATTGAGCCAAAACACTACCACATGTTCCAGGAAAAGGCTGATTCCTTTAGCTTTTGGGGGGCAGAGATGGGCACAGGTGCTGGTGGCTTCTATCAAGTCAGTAGATGAGGAAGATGAAATCTGTAGCCACACACCTACACAATTAGAAGAGTATGTGCCCCATCATATCTATAAAAGGGCTGCTTACCAAATCTTTCTCTCGTGGCTTCCCAGATTTAACTTCCTTTAAAAAATCACTTCTATGTAGTCTTACATGCATGGCGTTTTGCTGCATGTATGTTTGTGCACCACATGAGCCTGGGGTCCAAGGAGGCAAGAGTTTGTCAGATGCCTTAGAACTGGAGTTACAGTTGTGAACTTCTTTGTGGATGCTGGGAATTGAACCCGTGGCCTCTGGAAGAGCCAGTCCTCTTACCTCTCTAGCCATGAGCATTTCTTTTATTTTAAATCCCAGATTAAACAAGTAATGAGAGAAAACTGTACTGTAGAGGGAGATGTGTCAGTCAATGTGAAGTTTCTCAACTCTCCTGCAGAGGATTTCCTGTTGCACAGACCGTTCCTTATCAATACACTTGCCCTCCAGGAACCCCATTCCTAAAGCAGGCACTTCAGGATCTTCATCTAGATAAACACAACAGGGCAGGATAATTCTAAGGTACACTGCGCCTTGAAACAATTCTTCTAATAGTTTTATATTTGTTCATATCTGTACAACAGAAACACTTTCATAGAACAAAGCTCTTGAAGGGTGGCCTGTAGCATTCTACACTCTGGATTCCAAGCACAGCTCCATCTTCAGGCTCCTACTTGGGCCAAGGTCAGTGGAACAAAACATCCACTTACCAAAAACTAAGCTTCTGGTTTAAATGAACATGCCCTCTAATACTGTTTATTAAAAAACTATGTCTCACATAAACTGCTGTTTGGTATTTACTAAACTCCCAAGTTTAGCCTGGAAAACTTGAGCATTTTTGGTCTCAAAGAGTGCTAAACACTGACCTTGCACTATAAATGCTGTTTAGAGGCGCTGTACCACACAGGGCTTCACAGTAGATGCTGAGCAGCTGTCGGGATTCCTAGAAAAGGCTGCAGAGATCTTTTACTCACCATGTTTATTACTTCATGGTGTATTCTACCTCTCAGGGCAACGCAGTACTGTGCACTCTTGGCTAGACTCAACAATTAAAAGTGTTTGTTCTAATGTCTTAATAAACAAATAAGGCACACTATTTTTACTATTTGGGTCAAATTAATTTTATTATGCTCCATGATGAATTGCCACCAGTGCAACATCCTATTCACTATACATTTCAAAAAAAAATTCACATACTAAACAAAATTTCAGTCGATAAATGGAATTGAATGATTGAAAATCTTTATGAATTTCATAATACAATATGTGGCTAGCTGAAATTGTCTATCACATAGCATTTAGATATAAAAGGCCTCATGCTAGTTTGTTAAATGCAAAGGCTACCAGACAATCACGTAGCTGATATATCAGTGAGACTTGCAGATGATGCACAGGTATAGTGCCACCCATAGTGCAAGATAGTGAGGACTGAGACGTACAACTGGTACCTTACTCGGCAGAGTGGATTTACTCTTCATGCCTGTACTGAGTTCCAGAGCTCCTATAATTTAGACTTTGCACAAAAATAAGAAGCAAAACAAAAACAAAACACTTCTTCTGTATGAAAAAAGAATGAACTCAACTGCCTTTGGCAAATAATATAACCTCCCATGTATATGCAACTCAAAGAATTGAGAGTCTCTAGGCAAGCTCCTGGTCAAATATCAAATAAGTTGGAAACAAATCCCAAACTTCTTGGCAAAAGGTAAGGGACATCAGAATTGGCATTATCTCAAAAGACATTTTTAGGAATTTATTACTTTTTATTTCAACAAGAAAAAGAATATAAAAGCTTGATGTTATTTATTTAAAAATAATCTGCTATTTGCATGAACTCCCAATTTTATGATAGGATTGTAGTTGTCCAGCCTCATCCATACCAGTCTCACAGAGCTCAAGCCACGTGAAAATGACAGTAAGCAGAAAAAGGTTCCTAGCAGCAGAGAGCACTGTGTTTTGTTGTTGTTGCTTTTTTTTTTTTTTAACAAGAAACACAAAATTGAGAATCTTTCCAATGTGCTGTAATTACTCTTGCAAGGAAGGTAACGTTCTTTGAATAACTTAACCGTCTTACTGTACCACTTAACTGCTTTCAGCAACTAAACCTTTTAAATTATTCCTGACAATAACTAGATGCATGATCACTAAAGATTATGTGATAAACTGTTAAAATTCAAACCATATCTTGCAGGTCCAGCCTGTCAAGATCATGTCAATACTAGATTTTGGTCGGTATACTTCTAGATATCATAATTTTTAGTTGGATATTGTGACTATAATGAATACATTTGAAGCTACATTCTGCATACAACTCAATATGAGAAAAATATGACTATTTAAATCAGATAATTGTCTACCTAAAATTTAAAGTAGGTAGGTAAGATAATTATCACTATAAATATGAAATGGCCATCTTTAGGCAGATTAGTGTACTGTAAAGAGGCAAGGAAAACCTAATTTTAACACACCATCTAATATGCATAACAAGTGTGCAGGCTGTAAAGTTATTTTTTTAAAAAAATCTATCAAATTAGTTATGTATTCTAAGAAATTTGCCATTGGTACCATCAATCTTTTAAGAAAAAATGTTACTTTTCATCAGATTTTTGAAAAAACCTGGAGAAACCATCAAAAGTAAAAACATACGGTGTACGTGAGGTTTAGCATTTGTGCATACTGTTGCCCAACAATCTGACACTTACAATTTGCATTTCTGAATACAACAATGCATACAATCTACAAAATACAAAGATAACTTCACACCATTTTATCATTGCTTTGATACCACTTTAAGTCAAATAGGGCGTGACTACAATTGTTTATGAGGCACAAAGCAACCTCCATAAATGTTAACTGGAACTACTTTGGAGAGTGATAGCAAAAGCGTTTAATTCTTTGCTGAAAAGAGCCTGTCACATTTGCCACAACATGAAGCCCCTTTGGTCAAGTATAGATGTGTGAGGGCTCACCAGGATTCCTGCCTGCAGATGCCACTGCTTACAATGGCAAGCAATACTACAGAAGAGGTGCCTACTGTTTCTCTTCACTAGTGTCTGTAGTGATTTTTAAGCAGAACATATTGCTAAAATTTGAAAAACTTCATCAGTGTAGTGATGTCTAGAGAACTGTGCAATGTATCAGCTTCAACATTCATATGTGGCATCATATTCAAAATGAAGGGGCTAAAGAAACTAAAGTTTACATCACTTGAAAAAGAATGTAGTGCTATGCTAAATTTTATTAAGAAAATTTAGGTACAGAAAAAGTAGGGTATGAAAATAGTGTTCTCCTTCTGACGTTCTAACTAAATTACATTAAGGTTTGTGTCAGTCTCACACATAATTAAACTCCCTTGTTGATGGAATGAAAATATTCACAAAACGTGAGCATCCTGCTGTAAACTTGCACACAGTAACAGGGAGTAGCTTTGTAGGATTATAACAAACCTTTACAGATTAAATGAGGTATTGCACAGATTAATTTAAAAAAAAAGCAAAAGGCAACAAAAATATACAGCAAATTGGTAGAACATTTACATGATAATTTTACAGATCCATAGACAGAAAGTAGTGTTTAGTATTTCACCTTAAAAATATATATATATAATATATAGATCAGTCTTCCCACTCATCATCGTCCTCAAAATCTTCATCATCATCATCATCTTCATCTTCATCTGAAACCCAAAACCAAGAGTTAAACATACATGAATAAAATGACATAACTCTCCAGTGACTTCTCCAGCTAGCTAATTCCTGAAACAAACATTTAAGTTCTGAAATCTAGTTACTAAGATGGTTTAAAATTAATCCAATGAAGTCAATCTACAGACATGGATGGGATCAAAGATGAGATCCAATTCTTAGGTTTTAGCCCCTCAGTACCTGCTTGTTTTAATGTGTCAAATGAAACTTCGGTTAGCTTTTCAGGAGTTTGGATTTACAATTACTTTTACATTCTTTACATAAATCTGTAACCCTGGAACTTGACTTTTTTCCTCTTCCCACAATCTGCTTGTCTTCATCTTAATGACATCATCTTTCTCTTAGGTTAGCAGGCTTTCCCTCTCCCTCCATCAAGTGCCTTCCTTTCCACCACAGTCCATACCTACTGTCAGGTTTTGCCTCAAGTACTGCTGTTCTCCAGGAAGGAGGTTCACCTCAGAGAAGATGGAGAGATACTTAAAACTCTAAGTTTAAAATGTCATGTTCTTCCTTCAAAGGCCTCCTGTGGCTGGCTACTGCTGCCTGAATGTACTCTGAACTCCCTCTGAAACATCACACATGACTTGTCCAGCCCTTCTGCCCTGTTCTAAGTCTCCCACCTGCCCTGTCCCTCCTCTCACTGTCTTTAGTACAATCGTCTCCCTTTCTGTCCCTCCCCCTCACCCAACTGGTTCCTTCATGTCAGAGCATTTGAAGTACTCTTTCCCTTTTCTGGCCGTCTCATCATTTACATCCCACTCAGAAATCACCTCTTGAAAGAGGCTTTTCCTGCCTATCCTGTGTAACCCTTCTCCAGAAGTGGGAACTGTCTGTTCCATTCCTCTTTCCTTAATTTTTCAGAATGCCTGTAAACTTAATGTATCACACTAGAGTACAAACCCCACAAAAGCTGTGTCTTGGTCTGTTACATACCATAGGATCCTGAACAGCAGGAGTTATGTGCAGAGGCTGTTCAATCATTATTCTGAGTGAATTCAGGGTTTAATGTCATCTAATTCTACCAGTGAACATTCACATTCTATCAATTTTCCATGATATCCATACCTCACAAAAACCTACCACGGCCAAGTATGTAAACAAAGATGGTGTTTAATACTTATGATTACAATGATAAAGAGCCAGAAAGTAAATTGTATGTGACATTATATATGTAGGCTAGATAAAAACAGAATATCTTCTGTTCCCTTATAAGACAAGTTTCCTATAAGGAACTATTTCAGTATTAGTATCAGGACTTGAAAAGTAACAGAAGGTAGAGAAAAGTGAAAGAAATCTAATCCCCTCTCTCCAGAATTCCATGTTTTAAATTAAGGAATTTTGATCTAGTTTGAACTGATTTTTGTGCAGGGTGAATGAAAGTAGTTTAACTGCATTCTTCTGCAAGTGGATATCCATTTGCCAGCATCTTCATTTAGTAGGCTGCCCTTTTTCTCAGTGTGTAATTTTTGTTCACTACTGTGTGTTTATCTCTGAATTCCCCTATTTTGTCCTATTGGTTTGGGTGTCTATTTTTGTAGCAGCACTACACTGTGTTGTAGAGTATTAGTTGAAGATGGGTTACATTTATTTATGCTGTGGAACATTTGTTTAATGATGTAAAGATGTGTTGCATTCTTTTATTTTTTGTTTAACTCTGCAAGCTGTGTTACTTTGCCTATCTAAAACACCTGATTGGTCTAATGAAAAGCTGAACGACCAATAGGTAGGCAGGAGAAAGAGGCAGGGCTGGCATGCAGAGAGAATAAATAGGGAGGAGGGAGAGGAAGGGAGGCAGAAGAGGGAAGGAAGGAAGGAGGGAGGGAGGAGGAGGCCAGGGGCCAACCAACCAGCCAGACACAGAATAAGAAGAAAAAATATACAGAAACAGAGAAAGGTGAAAGCCAAGAGGGAAAAAGTAGACTAGATAATTTAAGAAAAGATGGTGGAAAATAAGCCAAGCTAAGGCCAGGCATTCATAAGAAGGCGTAAGTCTCAGTATAATTATTTGGGAGCTAGATGGCAGGCCCCTCAAAGAATAAAAAAACCAAGCACAACACTGTTTTGTTACTATAGTTCTTATTACTAGAATATCATAGAAATGGTACCGAGAAATCTCAAAGTCTTATTTAGAGGCTGTTTGTCAATGATTCTATAGTGTTTTCCAATACAGAAAATGAATTCATCACTTTTTACAAATTTTTTTCTTCTTGTTTCTGTATGGCTGTGGTGTCCTGGTATCTTTCAAATTTTAGGAAGACCAGTCATTGAGGACACAATTTGATTAAATATGCTGTAAAAACTCTTACCAGTTGCTAGTACTCAGGCATCTGTACTGGCCTGTCCTTGGGGTTCTGACAGGATATGCCCTCAGCTATAGTCACTAAGAGCACCACCTGTGCACATTCACTATGTTCCCTTTTAAAAGGGCCTGTTCTGTCCTGCCAACCTCCCATTTTCCTCTCTTTCTTTCTCTGCCTGTTTCTCTGTCTCTATCTCTCTCCTTCTCTTTCTTTGGCTGCTCCTGTCCCCATCCCCCTTTCCCATTCACTTTTCCCCAATTAAAAACCCCTTCACCCAAGCTCTGTCACATGGCATCTTTCTCTCAAGCTCTGCTTTTTAAAACTGCAACACCAAATGAGCTGCATAATTATCAGACAAAAATGTAACAAAGAAAATCATAAAAACAAACAGAAAATGCAGAGCTTCACATATCAGGTAGACACACTTCCACCCCTCCCAGAGCACGTGAGCACCTGAGGAATGAATGGCTTTGCTCCTTTTCTGCATCACTTCCATCAGTGCACCCACAATCCCTGAGGTGGGAGCAGGTGCGGGCGGTGTGGACTCTTGGCCATCAGACACCTTGGAGAAGGAAGTATCATAACTCAGTTAGAAATCCTTAGCAAAGAATCTGTGTGCACAGGGGAAGGCTCAGAGGGCAGAGGACTTGCAGTAGAAGCCTTAGGATCTGGGTTCTGATCTCTACCCCACATATAGCAAAGTCCAAGAGCTCATCTGCAATTAAGGTGCAATGCGGGGAGTTAAAAAGATGAAGAAATGATGAGAAAATCCAGACTTATAGACCATCACTGTGATGAATTCTAGTGTTGGGACCGCTTTCACTTTTCTGTGGAGTCTGATTTTTAATTTCCAAATACAAAATTTTAGTGTTTAAGAGTATGCTTCCATTTTTGTAAGTTTACTTGTTTGAACTTACCAAGACCCTGAAGCTGCTTCCAAGAGGGCTTTTTAAAATTCCCTTTAGTTTATTAAGTAGTTTCTTTAAAGAATCTTTTATTTAAAGTCTAGAACAATAATTATAAACATATTGTAAGATTCCATCTTTGTGATATTTAGAATATACAGAAGTATCACATAGCAATCAGATCATGAACTGTTGGGAGGAAGCACAAGGCAGCTTTCTATGGCGACAGATATGTCACATTTTTATACTAAGTGTGGACTACACAGCTACAGAGTGTACACATCCAAAATGTGTATATTTCATTGCGCATAACCAACATCTTAAAAATTATAAAAAGAAAAAGAATAACCCTCAAAGTTAGACATCTTATAATGGGGTATGGTAAAAGCCTGCAGTGCTTAAAAAAAAAAAATCAAAATGAAAAGGACACATTACTTACAGACTTCAGTTGAATGCCCTGCCGTATCTGGTCTAAAAGCGCATCCCTTCCTGAGCAGGACGTGGGCCGACTGTTCTGCTCCACCTTTTTAAGCTGAGCACCCTCTCTAATTTGATCCAAAAGAGCTGCTTTGTTTCCGGAAGGAGCGGGAACTTGATGGTCACCATCAGAAGGCAGGCCAGAGGGAGGAGGTGGCCCTGGTGGAGGCGGAGGTGGGGGAGGAGGTGGTGGTGCTGCGGTCCCTGGCATAGGTGGAGGTGGTGGTGGGCCTGAAGGTGCTGAAGAGGGCAGGGCTGGTGGTGGCGGAGGGTACATCCTGTTTGGAGGGGGTGGAGGAACAGTAACACCAGGCCTGGAAGGAGGCGGAGGGGGAGGTGCAGCTGTGGGAGCTCTTGAAGGTGGTGGGGGAGGAGCCCCCCTTCCCCGGGCAGGAGGAGGAGGAGGGCCTGAGCTATGAGGAGGGGGAGGAGGAGGTGGCGGCCCTCCCCTTGAGGGTGGAGGAGGTGGTGGTGCTGAAATAAGAACAGAGAAAAAAATGAGAGCATAACATATTAATAAAACAATTTACTTTAACACACATAAACCCAGTATAAACCAAAGAGCACAATCAGGAAAACTTTGCAATATATTTTACAAATATGTGATTGATGGGGGATGTCCTCCTTTCTCTATGCTGTAAATATTGTTTCTCTTATTGATGAATAAAGCTGTTTCGGGCAATGGACAGGCAAGATGTAAGCAGGCAGGAAGTATAAGTGGGGCTAGCAGAGTAGGAGAATACTGGGAAGAGGAACGAAGAGAGTGAGTCACCAGCAAGATTCCATGTAGCCATCAGGGAGGTGGGATGCCCAGGCATTCTCAGGTAAGCCAAGACCATGTGGGGATACACAGATTAATAGAAATGGGTTAATAATTAAGAGAGAGCTAGCCAGTAAGAAGCCTGAGCCATTGGTCAAACAGTTCAATATAACCGTCTGTGTGTTTATTTGGGACTAAAAGGCTGCAGGACTGGGCAGGACAAAAACTTCTATCAACATATGAGCATAGGTGGTATCTTACAATTTTATTTGGAAACAAATATTTAGCTTAAAGATCACCTTCCTGTTGTCAATATACAACAGAATCTAGTTATGAGGACTCATTATCTGTCCTGAAGCTATAAGAAAAATACATGGTTGGACAGACAGCTCAGGAGTTATAAGCCATGCTTGCTTTTCGCAGAGGATACCAGTTGAGTCCCCAGGACCCACATCAGCCAGCTCACAACTGCCTGGAACTCCAGCTCTAGAGGTCCCAACTCTGGACTCTGTAGGTACCCATATATGCACGCACGCACAAGAAAATACTCTTTTTTTTACAGTTTATATAACAATATCCCCCCCCCCCCCCCCCCACGGTTTTTCTTTTTTTTTAGGCTGTCCTAGAACTTGCTCCGCAGATCAGGCTGACCTCGAACTCATAGATATCGGCCTGCCTCTGCCTCCCGAGTGCTGGGATTAAGGCGTGAGCCACCAATGATGTAATTAAACACATTGCTTGTAAGCATTATTGTACATTTTGATAGCAATAATGAGTATCTCCCCTTTAGAATTAAACATGTTTATATTTTATATAAAAACAATTTGGAAACATTTTATGGTGTGGCAAAGCTTACTAGAATTTATTAACATTAATCAGAGTTAAACCCCAACATAATATACTTTCTGTCAAAACATAAACTTTCATCATCTAATTTACATACGTCCTTCTGCTTTATAATACAGTGTTTTACATTACCCACAACTGGTCAGCAGTTGTAGTTAAGAGAGGGTGGTTTCTGGGTTAAATGTTTGTTTATTTAGATCTGAATTATTATAAAATAGTTTTTTTTTTTAACTTACAAAATTACAGTGCAGTTAATAAGTTAGTATTACCCTATTCTTAGTCTACTTAGGTGAAGACGTAAATTACATTAAGGAAAACAAATCCAAAAGATTATAAGAATATACTGGGGACTATGAGTTAATCATTTAAGGATTAAATCATGTATTTCTGGAGACATGGTTTCACTAATGACATATACAAATCAATGTAACATTAAGCACTGCATCACTTCCCATTTGTTTAAAGATTGATCAGAGAAACTGACTTTTAGGAGTACACAGAGATCTTAGAACCCATAATAACTATATTCTTAGACACTGAAAATTTACATGGTACCGAGTAACATTATTAAATTCACTGTTACAAATATCTGCCTTATTACAATGGTACAAAAGGAAAAGAACACTTACACTATTGGCATTTCTATTTTCTTTTGTTTTTTAAAAAAATATTTTGTTTCATGTGTATGAGTGTTCTACCTACATGCATATCATTCATACACAAGTGCCCAGGAAATCCAGAAAATTGTTGGATCCCTGGAATTGGAGTTCCAGCTGTGAGCTGCCATGTGGGATGCTGGGACTCAAACCTTAGTCCTCTGGATGAGCAGCCGGTGCTTGCTTGCAGAGCCATCTCTCCAGCCCCAGGACTTCTGCTGTCTTAAGTGACAGCAAACTTCACTGTATTTTCTTAAAAAAATAATCTCTTACCAATCCTTAGCTTTTATCATCTGTATGCTAGCTAACACAAAGAGCACACTACATCACAGACAAAAATGTGGAAGAATTAGCACGGAAGAGTAAATGACACACTGTTTGGACAGTCCAATGCTCCAAGATGCGAGCCAAGCAGCTCGCATGAGAAGGACTTTAAAGAGTCATCACAAACACCAGAAGGAAAATGACAGCTACTTGTTAATTTTTTTAAAAAGTAACAGAGGAAAACATGAGAGATAAAATTTATAAAAAAGGATACTTTTATATTATATATAATATATATTAAATATAAGTACCCTTGGTAAATCTACAGGAATACTGAATCTTACAGAAAAAAAAAAAAACTCTTATGTTCATGGTACATAAAAAGGCTAAGTTATTTGAAAATTACCATTTCAAAGAAGTATCAATATTATTAAGAATACCAATAGATAGTTACATATCCTGTATATAATTATAACCATAAGAATTATAAGCAAAAACTATTAAAAAGGCATATAGTATTATAGAATTCATAAAACATTTAGGGACTGATATCGTGTTCTCTCATGAAAATTTAACAGACAAATGTTATCTAATATAATTAAATTTATGGGAATACTGTCAAGTCCCTAAGTGGACATAAGACACTGTGCTGACTGACATTACTCCATCCTCCTTACCCTAGTCAATATAAACGTATCTTACACAGGTTAGTGAAAAACAAGGCATAAAACAAACATAATCAATCATTATCAGTGAAAACAAGATGAAAGCTGTGGGCAATAGGTATTTCCTAATAAATATAGAGAACTTCAATAAATTAATCTAAATTATAGACAATATTTATGCTCTGACTCACAGAAATATATATATTTCTTTACAAATGAATTTTAATGCTCAAAACATTAGTTTTTGACAGAAGAACATATGAACTCTAGCTACTCCAAAAAGCAACACAGCAAATCATGCAAAACTCAGGGCAGCGGTTCTGATACTGCTCAGCATACATACCACACACACCACTCCACTGTGGTGGACCTAAAGAACAGATCGTCGTTAAGTTAATGGACTTCAAGAGCTACACACAGAGATACGGAAATGACAAATTTGTTTGTCTTTATAAATCTTTTTGCACAATTTTATAAAATGACACAAGATTTAATTAAATAGGTTAAGACAAATTTCACTAACATCCCCATCTCTGTGTTTTCCATACTTTTGAATATTAATTTATGTATGTGATCTCTCTAGAAAAAAATCTGTTAATTAGAAAAAAAATTAACAGAAAATTTATGTTTTTGATCTTACTTAAAAAAAAAAATCTATCTGGGTTGGAGAGACGGCTCATTGGCTAAGAGATTGAACTGTTTCAGAGGACCTCAGTTCAGCTCCTAACCCATGCTGAACAGCTCACAACTGACTGATGAAACTCACACACATAACCACCCCACTCCCACCATATACAAGTTTCTAATTACAAATAAAATACAAACAAAATCTTTTAAAAAAAAACTTACATAAAACCATCTTTTGATGCATAGTAAGTTCCACACTGAAAAAGTTAGGTTCTTAAAACATAAAAATCTTTATCTTGACATTTTGAAAGCCTGACTTTTTGTTTTTAGGCTAACAATTAAGGAAAGGCCTTGTCTGTCTTTAAAATAGCTGTAATAAAGTTTAAAGATAACTCAGTCTAGTTAGCCTGATCCTCTTTTCTTTAGGCATGAAGGACACAGGAGAGCAATACAGCCAATAATGCTGAGTGTAATTACACAGAGCTGAGTAGCCCTTAGCACCAGTGGGCGGGTCAGAGAGCAGTCTTCAAGACCTTCCTTCACCTGGACCCAACTAACAGTCTTCATGAGCATACACACTTAAAATGACACTGTATTCATAGTATGCCTTAACCATCCACCGCATCTGAAGTGTAATTTCTCTGCTAGGAAGATAAACTACCACAATGCTAGTTTCTATTGAACTACCTCTGGTTATTCAGCAGCAATGTGAGCCATAAGCTGTTTGCTTCCACAGTTGGTGCTAAAGACTCTAAGACCTTACTGTCTATATCATTTGGAAGAACATATCCCATCAAAGATCAGTTGAGTGTCAGCAGTAAAAATGTAGACAAAGGTAAGTTAAATACCCACTTTCAAATGACAATCAGATTCAAGAGCACATAACTGGAGCTTTAGCTCAATTACACTGGTGTGAGCCCAAAGAGCAGGAGAAGCTTGGTTCCAACTGAGATGGTGCTGAAATGGTGACCATGACTGCAAAGGCTATCTATGCACCTGCCTGTCATAAGTGTTGGGAGGCAACCAAAACACAAAGTTCTTTAAACTACCCAACCATCACAAGGCTGGAAACAGTGATCACAGGAACCAAAAGAAAGTTTAATATTTTGGACTAAACAGAGAAAAAAAAGATTTATATTTTAAAACAGAAAGTTTTTACATAGTTTATATCCTAAACATGTTTTATTACAGATTACATGACTTTTTATACTAATAATCATGTCAAACTATTGTCCACTTGTTTTAAAGACAGGGTCGCACTATGTAGTTATCTATATAGCCCTTGAACTCCACATAGACCAGGCTGGCCTCAAACTCACAGAAATCTGCCCACTCTGCCTCCAGAGTACTGGGATTAAAGGCCATCTTACCATGTCTAGCTCAAAGCTTTAGTCTTACCAAAATAATGAAAGATGTAGTGATGCTGGACCAAATTTGTCATCTATAAATTTAAACATTCTGCTCAAGGAACGATGCACAGTTGTCCACCATAAGGTTAGAAAATTCAAAAGGAAAAATACAGCCAAGTGCCAAAATAGATTAAAAGTTACCTTGCCTTCGGAGTTCATTTTTAACAGCTTCTACACCTCCTGTCTTTTCAATAAAGTCATAAATAACTTTTGATGTTTCTCTGTCTTTAAGTTGGGCCTCGGAGATCCCACACATATCAAAAAGATTCTTCAATTCTGGATCCAAATTATTGAGCTAAAACAGATAAAACAACTTTTAATTAGGCAATTCTGTTCCAAAACATAAACCCAGTAAAACAATTTACCTGTGTCTTTCTGAAGCTAAATTCAGACATTTATAATGGTTATGTAACTTAAATGCTAACACAACATTCTCTTTTATGAAAAGATAAGAACAAGAGAGATTTTTCTATTTCATCTCATCTTTTCCATGCCTTAAAAGAGGGCGTTCTAGTCCTATTTTTTCTTAATCTACTTAAGACTAGATCTTGTGTTCATCTATTCCAACCTGTCCTAAACAAGATTTGGCTTTAATCTTGAATTACCGATTAGTTTGAAGATCTGAGGGCAAGGACCTCTTTGTGCTGTCACAATGCTAATCAAATGAGTGACAACAGGGACTCAAAGAAGAACCACAGTTTAGAAACAAGCTGGATAATTCTATATTTGGATATTAACAATTTTGTTATACTAGTTTTCAGTAATTTGGCATACTTTCCTAAAATTATTACTTTAAAAAATAACATTTTTCTCTTTGCATTCAAAACACAAAACTATTTATTTAGCACATAATCAAGGAATACAAGATTTTTTCTTAAGGACTTAGCAACTGTGACAGAATAATACTATGGATTCAAACCTCAGCAGCACACACAAACATAGCACATTCAAATTCTAATACATACTAAGTTTTCAAACTGTAAATAAAAATCCAAAGATAATCCATAGCATTTCTATGTATTTTTATACAGCTTAAAAAGATACTTACATCAAACCCTGTATTTGGATCCCAGCCAACATGTCCAATGTGCCTAAGGTAGAAAATAGAAAAAAAATTAGAAGATTAAATGCATAAAAGGGCTTGTGCAAAAATGCATAAAAATACTTGAAATCTATTATATACAGCCCAATTTCTTTTGCTTCTAGACAATTCTTGCAGGCGTCTTCCATATTATTTATACATCAAAGTTAAAAGAAATCATGCTCAACAATTAGTTGAATAAACAAATAATTACATCTAACTTTTCTTTTCAGATGGGCAGAAAAAGTAAACTGTCAGATTCATGGAACAAGCCTGGCTTGGTAGGTAGTACCTGCATGCCTGGACACTTGAAATTCTAGGCCAGCTGGGACCACAAAGAAGATCCACACTGTCTTGAGAAACAACATAAATACTACAGCAACATCTCTAACTTTTAAAGAGATGAATGTGGGTATTCTTCCCTGGAAGCCTTACCTACTCCTTTGGAGTTCTTTCTCATTTTTCCCTAATAAATCGATTCATTCCCATTGTTTAAGTCAAAACCAACCAACCAACCAAAGAAAAAACCCAGTGAATATATACATCCTTCCTATATAAAATATATACATATATTTTAAATATTAAACCCCCCCTCCCCGCCACCTCCCCCGTTATAGGCTCATGTATTTGAACACTTTGTTCCTAGCTAGTGGTGACATGTGAAAAGTTGTAGAACCTTTGTGAGGTGGAATCATGCTAGAGAAGCATGTCACTAGTGACAGACTGAGGTTTATAGACTGGCCCCACTTCCTCTGCATCTACTACACTCTTGCAGCCACGACGGCTTACATCCCCTCTGGAGAAGTAAGCCAACGCAAACACTTTCTCTTCTAACTTGCTTTTTGTTGGGATATTCTACCACAGCAACAGAAAACAAATATTACATAGAACACCTCCAAACCAAAATTTTCTAACAAGTTAAAAATCAAGAGCAGCACAGTATACCTAAAAAGAATGAAGATAAAGTCAGGTGTAGTAGTGCACACCTGTAATCCCAGGTACTGCTCTGCAAGCTGAGGCAGAGGATCCTAAAGTCAAGGCAGCCCAGGCTATAGTAGAGCAAGAGCTGTCTGTTTTTAAGTGAAGAGAAGACAAAGGAAAGAGCCTTACTGGAAATTGCTTGGTGTTCCAATATCTGCCTTGGTCAATCTCTTCTTTTTAGCCTTCCCTTTCTTCTTTTCTTTGGTGTGGGAGATGTTGTTGACTTGTGAACCATAAAACCTATTTGTTGTGATTTCTGGATTTTTTATGTCAACTGTAGCCATGGGTAGATTGGGACCTATAAAGCGAAGCCAAAATGGTATGAGAGGGATATAATTTAAGAAAATAATTTTATACAATCATAATTTATAATTTTCTGTATTTTATTTTTTTAACTTATGCCTGCTTACTTATATTTCAACATTAAATATCACTGGTATCTATAAAATTAAATCAATCTGATTCAATTCTGGTAAAATGATATATACAAAACAACACTTATAAAAAAAAAGTGATGACATCCTTAATCCTGTCTTGTTTCAACCTTATTTATCCATAAGAAAAAGATACTTTACCACCTTCCCTGCAAACTGCCAGATTTAATTCCACTAAAATTTTCCCATTAGTATATATGTAAGTTGGCTATGAGAAACACCAAACTCAAATACTTAAAGTGGAAGAAATTCTAACACTCATAACCTCCTGCAAAGATCCAATGGTAAAGGTACCTAGGGTCCTTCAGATATCTGTCAAAAATATCTGCAGGAGCAACACTAAATGATGTATCCCATAACTTGTGTACAATAAAAGATATGCTAAAGAAATGAAAGTCTCAATGCAACGGATTGAATTAAAAATTCTTATGCATCTCTGAACTTAAAAGTCAACACATGTTCTTTCAACATCCCATTTTAGCACACAATTCTCTAACAAAACCTCCTCTCACACCAAGTTCCTTTCCGATCATTTCATTAACAATTTCCAAAAAGTATCAAAATATCACCACTACTTATACATAAAAATCAAAGCTTGAGCCGGGCATTGGTGGCGCACGCCTTTAATCCCACCACTCAGGAGGCAGAGGCAGGTGGATCTCTGTGAGCTCCAGGCCAGCCTGGTCTACAGAGCGAGTGCCAGGATAGGCTCCAAAGCTACACAGAGAAACCCTGTCTCGAAAAACCAAAAAGAATTGAAGCTTGAGATATGCATGTTGGTTTGAATGAAAACGGCCTCCACAGACTTAGGTTTGAATACTTAGGTGGAACTATTTGGGAAGGATTAGGTGTGGCCTTGTTGGATGAGGTGTGTCACTGGAGGAAGGCTAAGGTTTCAAAAGCCCATGCCATTCTCAGCTCTCTCTCTGCCTCTTGCTTTTAGATCAAGATGCAAGGTCCCAGCTACTGCTCCAGTACCATGCTGGCTTACTTGCTGCAATGCTCCCCACCATGACAGTCATGGACAACCCCCCCACCCTGCAGTTGGGCATGGAGTTTTATCACAGCAAGAGAAATGCAGTAACTCAGACAGACAAATGGCATCTTAGCTAGTGGGGACATAAACTTCTTTCCTGAGAAGGTGGACTCACTATGCCCAAGCTTTGTGCCAACAATTACACTTAATATTGCATTCTTCATGTAGGAGGGTCTGGACTCATGGTTATTGGCTGTGTGAAAACACAAGCATTGAATCTCCAATGGGCTCTTCTAATGAGTCTTTCCTTTAGACAACACTGCACATACTTCCACAATTCATACTGGAAGATACAGCCCACTGTCTGTGGCTCCAGAAGGAGGCCTATAGAATTCATCCCTTGCAGCTTTCTGTGCTTATTTTGCTTGTTATCTCTTCACTACACTGGATATTTTCAATAAAAACAACTACATATCAAGTCTCATGAGTTCTCCTAGTGAGTCCCTAACCATGAATATTGTCTTGGGAATCCTCAACAGAATTATAAACATCAAATAGAAATCCTAAGCCAGGCTGTGGTGGTATATGCCTGTGGTCCCATCACTTGGGAAGCAGAGACAGGTAGATTTTGATGAGTTTGAGGCCAGCTTGGTCTACTGAGTGAATTCCAGGCCAGCCTCTAAAGTTACAAAGAAATCCTGCCTCAAAAACAAAACAAAACAAAACAAAAACAAAAAAAGTCTCAATAAATTATAACAGTGGTTCTCAACCTTCCTAATGCTATGACCTTTTACTAGAGCTCCTCATGTTGTAGTGACCACCAACCATAAATTTTCGTTGATACTTCTTAACTGTAATTTTGTTAGTCCTGAATAATATCTTTGGAGACAGGTTTCTCAAAGGGGTCTTGACCCACAGGTTGAGAACTGTTGAATTATAGGCTGATATACAACAAGTGATCACTTAATGTCAATTTGACTGCAATTCTTCAATTATGTTGAAAATCTCCATTGTACTGGAATTATTAAAGTTATCTGAAAGCCTGGTTAAATCTAATTTGGAAGGGTGACAAATGTATTTCTGAAAAAGGTTTAAAAATGAACAGGAAGCCAGGGAGGGCAAACCTGGCTACATCTTGAGCCAGACTGTTCTACATGAACAGTAACAACAAACAAACAGAAAAACAAAAGTAAACAAGTGAAGAGGATAGGAAGATACAAACTACCCCTTCCTAATTCAGGACAACTGTCACAAGAAAGGAGTCTCACAAGAAAAGGGTTTTAAGTATTCTTATAATAACAGATACTTCATTTTAATTTTAATCTTAATTTCAAATTCAAATCTAAAAGAACTCAAGTTTCTTTTTAATTAAAATGAAAGAGAACTACATACTAAGGTAAGATACTGAGAAACAGGTGACACAGAGGCCTACTGAGGAAGAGAAGCAAATTACATTTTAGGGATATATGTAACTCCTATATAAAGTGTCTTTTTAATAGTTACAATTTGGAAAGGTCTGATAAGCGGACGCACAGCAGACACAGGCCATGGCTAAGGTGTCCACTGCCACCTAGTGGTGACACATCAAAACACAGTAAGCTGTAACTGAACAAAATTACTACTCTCCACACAATGGACGGAGCAAGACTGGCAGGACTGGAAAGCCAAAAACAATTAAAACTCTCATAACATATCTCATCGCTCACTACTATATATGTGATATATAGGTACACTTATATATTTTTATAAATTGAAAATTATGAATTGAAAAGTATGGTAATATTGGATGCATAATTTTGCTATTTAACAATACTAATAAAAAAACAGCTTCCCTATTTATTTAATGAAAACAAGTTGGACTAATACAACACAAAACTAAAAGTATAAAACTAAAGATTACCAAGAGCAACCTTATTCCCAGCACTGGAAGGCAGAGGCAGGAAGACCTCTGTGAGTTCGAGGATAGGCTGGGCTACAAAATGAGTTCCAGGAAGTCAGGGCTGTGCAGAAAACACAAAAAAACAAAACAAAACAAACAAAAGACCCCTAAAACAATCACCCAACTTACCAACAACTCAAACCTGTCAACCAAAACCAAGAGCAATTCAAGAAAGACAAGACAATTGTGAGCAACTCAGTACGAATATTAAAACTGTATCGTGGATCTCTTGAGTTCGAGACCAGCCTGGTCTATAAGAGCTATTTCCAGGACAGGCTCCAAAGCTACACAGAGAAACCCTCTCTCGAAAACCAAACAAATAAAAGAGACAAAATTAAAAGGTAATCTATCTGTGTCAAGGGTACAAACCTCAATAATCACCAATTGTTTATGCAAAGCTCCCTGAACAGTCTTTCCAGTTCTGAAGGGAGGATGTGGAATGCATTTAAAAATCGGCAGCTAAATCCCCTCTTCTTGGAGCAATAGGATTTTACTTTTAAGGTTCACATTTGAATGTGACAAAGTATTGGAGCTTCTCTCCAGAAAAAAGAACATGGAGGACGACGACGAGGAGGAAGACAGACAGTAATTATTTATCACATTTAAGAGTTCATTATCAAACTCTAGAGGGCTATGTGCATAATAGTTAAGACACATGTAAAGACTTAAGAAAGTGTGTCATGTAACACATGACAAATATTAAACATTAAATGCCATAAAGGAAGTGTTTTAAAATGAAAAAAAAAAAAAGTAAATCTTGGAAAGAAATGAACACATATACCAAATCAAATGAGATACTCTGAGGAAAGTCTTAAGCACATGCACTTTCTAAACAACCAATTGGGAGTACAGAACAGAATAATACCCACCTTCACACTAGACTTTCACTCCATGTTAGGAGACAAATTAAGAATAGTAAATGCTTAAGTTTTGCCTATCATTCCAAAATTTGAAAATAAGAATAAATTAAACTGTAGCATTTGATCACAATTATTAAGCATTAACCCATGGTACACATTTCTATAATAACTCTAATTTGAAAACTTTTTGGTCAGTAATTACCAAAAACTTACCATTTGGAGCATCTCGTCTTTTTTCTGTTAAAAAAAAAAAACAAAATATTTATTAGGTACATAAAATATATTATCAAAAAAAGACACATATATACTTGATAAAAGTAAAATCTTGATAACATACTAAACATAAATTTTTACTCTTGAGGTGATATGTAGACAGTTAAGGAATCTTTCTGAAGATTAGATAATTATGCAGATACCCAAATAGAAGATAAACTAATCCAAAAGTTTCAGATTATAGTGTAAGGGAATGCCATGATGACTGTACTGGACTGGGCAGAGACAATCAACAGGCCAGGGATTTATCATGGATCCACCCATAGTGGAAGGAAGGTGGCAACTGAGTTTACTCAGCTCACGACAGAAATCTACCAAGTGGTAGGACAAGTGACATAATGAAATCTACATTTAAAGTATAGTCTCACTGTGTGTAGAGATGGCAGGGAAGAAATAGCAGCACTGGGAAATCTGGATATTAACTGTGGATATTATCAATGATACACAGCTACCATCCATACACAGAGGAACCAGAGAGGGAAGGTGGAGTAAGGGATTAGAGGGAACAGAGAGATCTCATTAGAAGAGCAAAATATAATACATATTGATGAATGGATGGGTGGGTGGGAGTTACTGGGAGGATAAAGAGGGGATAAAACGGGGAAAGGAAGTCCTGGAAGGGATCATGGAGAACGACTACTAAAATTAAGAAGCGTTTGAGGGGTATACAAGTGAAATTGCAAAATAAAGGGGAAGATACAGGACCACCCCTCTAGAAAAAGCAGTTTAACAATTTTTTGTTTATTTGTTGGAGGCAGGGTCTTTCTAGGTAGCACTGGCTGACCTAGAGATTGCTATGTAGGTCAGGCTAGTCACAAATTCAAGGACAATTCTCCTGCATCTGCTTCCCAAGTGCTGAGGTTTCAGGCATGCCCCACCATGACTGGCCATGTTTAAAAGACTATAATTTCTACATATTTTTCTAATATAAACTTTTCTGAAACTGTAAGAGAAACATTAATGACTAATGTAGTAAAATAATAAGCTAATAAATAATAACAAACCCATTCAACTAGTGGACAAATTAAAAATCCTACCAATAGGGACCACAGATGTAACATTCCACCTCATGATCAGATGAAGCAATAATTTAATCATTTAAAGGAAGCAATTTCTATACTGTCAATCTTTTAGTTTTCAAAATGATATTAATCTCTGTATGCAGAGTGGTGACCACTTAAATATAAAATATACTGAGGTAAATAAAAGGTTCAAAATGTAAGTTTTAAGAGCAGTTCCTGAAGAAATATATCCGTGGCCAGAAGCCATTTATGTAAAAAAGAAAAGAAAAAAGCAGAAAACTTTGCCTGAACAGAGAGTCTGAGGCTCATGTGAGACACTTGCTAAAAATATCAACAGAACGGTGTGTCTGAAGTTTGGGATGTTTTAGTATCATTGGACTATTCATACCACAATGTGGAGTACTATGTTCAATACATACAAAAAAAAAAAGATATAACCTAGTGAACTGCACGCACAGTACACAGCATGATTCAGTCTATAAACTGTATAACAGAACTACTTTAGAAACTTGGAACCAGTAAGACTAACAATCCTTAGAAAGTATGTAATAAAGGGCTACAAATGGTTTATAGTGAGGGAAAGAAAACAGATTAATCTACTGTTACTCATCTGTGTCCTTAATGTCATGCTCTCTGTGCAACTGAAACATTTTACCTAAAAGTTTAGATAGCCACTACATGCAGGAGAATTCCTATATGAGGTAAAAGGCATCGTGAACTCACCTGTTTCAAGTAAATTATGTTTAACAAGTGCTTTGCACTCCTTTTCACTTCAAAAACATCACTTGTTCTGACTACAAATTTTCCCAAAAGTCCACTAGATGACCATCACAAAATGTCACTAAAAATGACATCCAACGAAAGGCCCAGACACATAGGACTCAGTGGATAACTCCAGTGGATAAGCAAATATGAGGCTTGGAGTTAGAATTCCATAATTCATGAAAAAGCTCTGCAGATGTGGACAATAATCCAAACATTCAAGAGGCAGAGACGGGGGACCTCAGAATATGCTGGTTAGCTGGACTAGCCACAACTGACCAGCTCTGGGTTCAGGCAGATACCCTGACTCAATAAAGAAGAAAGTGATCAAGGAAGACACCCAAAGTCACAAGACACCATTTTCATGCCTCTACACACCAGGATCAGAACACTGAATGCTTTCTGAACCAGAGACAAGAAGTAAGCAGGTCTTGACCATACAATTGCAGGGCCCTCATTATCTTCCCATTTATTCATAAATACAAGATAGAGTGAAGCAACAGTTTGGTTACTTCAACATATTTTTTTTAAAAGTTTTTTTTTTTGTGTGTGTGTGTGTATATGTGTGTGTGGGGAAGCGGGGGGTGGGGGGGCATGAGCATGTATGGAAATTAAAGGACAACTTGTAGGAGTTACTTCTTTCCTTAAACCAAATAGGTCTCTTCCTTCCTGGAACTCATTAAAGAACAATAAAAATACATAAAATAGTGTGTTCATTTCTATTGCTATTTCCAGATTCAATGCCTTCCTTAGTCTATTGCTAAACACCTTATCTTCAATCTGGGGTAACATGTACCCTTATAAGCACAAAGATGTTCAGAGCGGCAAGGCATCTGCTCAGCTGTCATTCCTGTGAGTCCCTAAGACTGATACACTTAACAGCCTTTATTTCACACCAGCAAGGCTGGGGACAGTTGCCAAACGATAGTTCTATGCTAATTATCCCGGATCACTTTCTAACTGGCATGGATATGTGAAGAGTTGTTTTATGCATCAAATGAAGCTCAAGACTGCACAGTGTACAGCACTGGAACAAAAAGACAAAGCAACATTTGCAAATTTAGTCTGCCATTCTGCTTATTTGTTCTTAAGCTTCTTAAAAGTATTCATGTGCAAAACATAAAAGTACTTAAATTTGCTTAAAAAATGCCACTAATAATGCAAGTTTCAGACTCAGTAAACATGGAATTTTATCAGCAAAAAAGGTTACTGGAGTAAAGATATTTCTTTTGAGGAAGGTATCACAGAGCTCTGCTGCGGAGAGGGCTAGACAGTAGATACTTCAGGCTTTGATGACTGTATGGACTCTGTTACAACACCTCAACTGTGATGTGACAAAAACTAGCCACAGCTTGTATGCATACAAACGAATGGAGCCAGATTTCTACAGTTTATAAGTAACAGCCAGTGATTCACATCTGCTCGGTAACCAGTTTACTGGCTCATTTTATGTACAGAAAGGAAAAGGAAAAGCAAAGAGGTGTTTACCAGATTTCCGTTGTCGTCGGCCCAACAAGTCTGTAACTGCCTTGCGGAACTTTTTTGCTTCTTCTTCATTGGCAAAATTAAGAGCAACTTGACAAGTCTGAAGTATTTCCATCAAAAATAACAACAAAAGTACATGAATTTAGCCTATGTAATAACAATAATGGCATAATGGCAACCCACAGAAATACTTAAAGGAGGAAAGTTTTGCTTTCTGACAATTAAAAAAAAATCACTTTATTATTTAAGTAACCTTTTTCCTTTGTTTTGCTTTTTTTTTGAGACAGGGTTTCTCTGTGTAGCTTTGGAGCCTGTCCTGGAACTTGCTCTCACCAGGCTGGCCTCGAACTCAGAGATCAGCCTGCCTCTGCCTCCTGAGTGCTGGGTTTAAAAGCATGCACCACCAGTGCTCAGCTATGATTTAAGTAACTTTTAAGCAAAAAAAAAAAAAAAAAAAAAAAAAAAAAAAACCCCAGAGAAGGTAAAGTGAAACTATTAGAAAAACTTCTTTACATGGCAGAAACTTAAACAACTGGATACTTTAACTTCAGAAAAAAAAAAAATCATCAAGATTGATTTCAACAGAGCTTTATAAATAACACAGATTGAATATGGGCAATTGTCGCTGGGCAGTGGTGGCATATGCTTTTAATCCCAGCACTCGGGAGGCAGAGGCAGGCGGGTCTGTGAGGTCGAGACCAGCCCGGTCTAGAAGAGCTAGTTCCAGGGCAGCCTCCAAAGCCTCAGAGAAACCCTGTCTCGAAAAACAAAAAACAAACAAACAAAAAAAAAAAGGGGGGGGGGGCAACTGTGGTGGTTTGAATAAAAATGTCCTCATAAGCTCATAGGTTTAAATGTTTGGTCCCCAATCAGTAGAACTGTTTGGGAAGGATTAAGGAAGGATGGCCTAGTTGGAGGGGCTGTGATACTTGGGGTGGGCTTTGAGGTTTGTGTCATTTTCAGTTAGCTCTTTCTGCCTCTTGCTTGTGGGTCAAATGTAAGCTCTCAGATACTGTTCCAGAGCCATGCCTGCCTGTGGCTCCTGTGATCACCACCATGGACTCGATCTCTGAAACTGTAAGCTCCAAATGAACTCTTTCCTCTATAAGTTGCCTTGGTCATGGTATCACTTTATAGCAACAGAAAAGTAACTAAGATGGCAGCTAGTAGAGTTATTATCAAGATGAAGAGAAAATAGGACTTACATCTCCAGCAAAGGTATGAAAATATCCTCTAGGACTATTATATACAAAGTTATTGTATAGCTCTTGTTCCCACAGTAATTTCCCATCCTAGAAAAAGAGGAAAAGTTAAAACTTACAAAAAATACTTCTAGGACTAAAAGCAGACAACTCATTAAAAGAACTGTTTCTATAAACAAAAACTTTTAGGGACATAAATATATATATATATATATATATATATATATATATATGTAATGTACACATAACACATTCAATACAGTATCATACAACTTAGTGAACCCTGGATATAAGGTGGTTTCATTCAACAGGACAAGCATTTCCAAGTACACCACTTAGCCAAGTGCATAACTGACTCACTGGATTACCAGCATCATCAGGAGCAAATGCAGTGCTCCATTAGCCATGTTTTGTTAAACACTGCAGTAGTATCTTTTCTCAATTTCCAGATGCAGAATAATCAAAGATATCTTCTCTGGGCTGCTCAATAGTAAGTTTAAAAAACAGATGAGATATCCACATAATACAGCCACAGCATAAGAAATGTATTTATTCTTCACGCCAAAGGTGACTAATTATGAGTAGTAAGCAATGGCTATCTTCAATCAGAATTAAGTAGTGAGAAAAATGTAATCATCGCCCAATTCTGAAACCCAAGACTCAACCTATATTATAAATTTAAAATATGAAAAATCGACCACTTGGGTTGGCCAGCACTAAGGAGCTTTACTCATGTATATACATCACTGCTTCTAGATGGAAAGTGCTGGGTTTAGCAGCTGCAAGCCCTGCCAAACCTCAGGCTAAGGAGAAGAAGCTGCTGAAGAAGGCAGGCAATGCATGCATCATTGAAGAAAACACTGAGGACATCTCATTAAGGCCCACAAGGAGTACATAAGGGCGCTGGGATTTAAGATATGACATGGTGGCCTACTTTGTGAATGAACAGTCCCCGAAGAATGAAGATTAAATATTTTGGAAGTTCTCTGATGACTTTGATAAGTGGAAAGTATAATTTGTTAAAAAATAAAATGAAAGAAAAAATATAATATATCTGCTATAAATACATTATGACCATTACAATGGGCATTTTTTTTTTCTTAGTATAGTTGTATAGTCCTGTTTTGAAACAGTTCTTAGTGTTGATAAGAAACATAAAGCTACTTTCAGGGAACTACTACAGTCTACTTTACAGGGGAGGTACACAGTCTCAGACATTCCACTCGTGTCTGGAACCTATGTATAGCTTTCCCTTATAAAACATACTTACAATAATGTTTAATGATACTTAAAGTATAGGAACAACTGTAATAAAACAGACCAACTACAGTAAAGGTCTGTAATAAGTCATGTAAAACTAATGAATTGCTTGCTTCAGGATTTGTTTTCTCACTTTAAGACCATGCATGACAACAGATAACTTAAGGACAGACAACAAAGCCATAGGCAAGAGATGGGTCACAATATCCTTATCTGGGTTCCCACTCAGTTCCATTATTCTTCAGTGTCTACGATGAATTTCACTCTTCTAGTTTATCAATTTCAACATACACAAGGCAATCAGAATTTCTAAACTAAATTATAATCAGGGCAGATAAGCACCTACAAGTTAAAATGAAAACAAAACTTACCTTAATGTCAAATATTCTTAAAAAATAAGACCTCTGAGGATTGTCCTTAACAAGACAAGCAACGCCACTGCACTTCTTTGACCACATACAGTTTCGATCAGCTGCATATAACTGCACCACTGCCGAGGACATAGTCTGCAAAATACCAACAATGCCCACCCATTACCTTCAAAACAACTAGACTCACAGTCCTTGTTGATTCTGACTGCAACCTCCCAAAACACCAAGTCAGGACCACCCAACTGCTTCCAGAAACAGAGACAAGGAACATTTCATTATGTTAGTTACTTCGTTTTGAAGTTATAACTAATATAATATCCATACCAATAATTACTGAAAAGTAACATTTATTAATTCTTAAAATATTTCTGGCAACATGCACTTAAAAATACTAACCCCATGTAATCATTATTGCTATTCTAAATTCACGTTACACTCAAGAACAAAACACTAATGAGGAGGATAAATAACGTGTCTGATAGTGCTAAGTGAGGAAGCTGAAATTTGTGACTTTAGATCCTATATTTTCACATCTCCTTAATTAACTGCATTTTGAGGACACGAACATTTAAACAGTGGAACAATCCTATTGGGGAAAGCTGACTTCCATAAAATAATTGACCCTTTATAGCAAAGGAACTAAACCAAACCTGAAGCAAGATTTGGGATTACTACTACTAAGTGTATCAAGACAGATGATCATAATCTTTTAAAAATGGTAAAGCAATGGCAATGATGTAAAGTGACTTGCAAAGGTAGTACAGGGATTAGAAAGGTTTTCTAAGGGTACAAAAATCAATCTGACTGACCACTGTCTGGATCTCCCATGAACAGGACACCGTGGAGCTCTTAGATGACAGGAGAGGAGTTACTGAATCACTTGCAAGGGACATCTTGGGCTGACAGGTATTCCAGGGCACCTGTTGCCACCTTTCCTGTGGTTATGAACCACTGCAAACTCCCACTTATTCTGAATTAAGTTGTTTTTTGAAAGCACCTATTTAATCTATTTCTCTTAAAGTGGCACTCACAAAAAGACAGAATTAACAAGTCTGAAAATAACAATTATAGTTTAGAGACCACTAATTGCATTCCTAAATCAGCTACCAAAAGAATTATTTTTCAATGTAAATATAAAAGTAAATTACTTCCTGAGTCATTGTTTCAGTTTTAATTAGCACGTATCATACACAGTAATGGTTTTCATTATGGTATTTTCATACAGGCTCATAATGTATCTTTATCCTATTTGCCTCTTATAGTCCCTTCTTGCCCTCCTCATCCCAATGACCCTCTTCTTTCCCACCAGGCCCCTTCCACTGTCACGAGTCATGTGATTTTAAACATGTTCAATCTAAATAATCAAAATCAGAATCCGATTAAGTAATTATGATATTTATGCTCAATAAAATATGGGCACTGTATAAACTTAGCAGACTATATTAAGACTTGGAGGTGTGGTATTTTGGTGTCATCTAATTATGGCTGGGGAATGTCCTCTGGCAAAAGAATTCCTTTGGAACTACTATATAAATAAACCTTTAATTATTTCAAAATCAGGAATGTGAGATCAGTATACTACTAGGGACCAAAAGTTCATAAAGACATTCTGGGTTACAGTGTTCAATGTTGTATTTTTAATAAAAATTTTTTTCACCTGAACTTCATGCAGGGAACTGGGAAATTTTCCACAAGAAATGCTAGGGACATGAAGAGTATGTGCTCTGGGACACTGGTTTAAATGACAATACTGAGGAACAGGAGTAGACACTGGCCCAGTGAACACATGCCTGGATTGCTGTGTACCATAATTACAGGTTGACAAGTCCAGCGGTAGCCGCTACATCAGCAGTTCTAAGCCACGGACACTTTGAGGATCGCATCTAATGTCCTGCATATCAGATATTTACATTATGACTCATAACAGTAACAAAACTACAATTATGAAGCAGCAACAAAATAATTTTATGGTTGGGGTCACACAACATGAGGAGCTGTATCAAAGGGTCACAGCATTAGGAAGGGTGAGAAGCACGGGCACCTTCAGCAAAAACAGAAAACTTCAACAAAGAAAGGAAGCACCAAATAA